AGCTTATGCCAGACACACAGGACAAGTAGGGACCAAACTCTACATGAGCCCAGAACAGGTTTGTGTTCTCTCAAACTATTTCCAGCACCACCTTGAAGACACTTGAATTCCTGGGAGCTCAAGGATCAAGTAGTCTTTCTTAGTAAACTGTTACAATCAGGTTTACGTTATTTCTCATCGAAGTAGAGTTTTGAGCTAAACTGAATTCCAAAATGAATATTTTAAACATAAAATAGCAAAAACGAACACAAAAAAGGGTTGGTGACCTGTTCTTTGGTGCACTGATTTATCTTGCTCTTAATGTATTAGGCTGTGTAATATTCAAGTCAATGAAGAACGTGGTATTCTTCAGGAGGTTTCAGTTGAAACGTGGCTAGGTCTGCAAAGGGGAGCTGATGATAGGAGTTTTTACTCACACATGCTCAAGTTTGATGTGTCAAAAGGCTGTTACAGTTAGCACCTGTTCTGTGCTTTTCTGCTCTGCACAGAGCTGATCACTCTCGTGCGTGGGAAGTTGTTTGATTACACTGTACGTAATTCTGTGACCAAACTGGCTGACCTCACCTGAATTCTGAATTTTCAGATCTGTGGGAACACCTATTCTCACAAAGTGGATATATTTTCTTTGGGACTGATCCTCTTCGAGCTGCTTTACCCTTTCAGCACACAGATGGAGAGAGTCAAGGTAGGTATGGTGCAGCAGCAAGGGTTAGCCTCTCCTTGATCACTTCTTCAAAAGGATTGCTTCGTAAGACACTTGCAAGAGGTTCTTCTCAGCTTTAAAAAAGCCTTGGAATTAGGAACATGGAATCTTTATCAGCCTTGTCCAGATTCCCTGAATCACTGGAAATGAATTGCAGCCTTCCTTATATGTGCAGTTGAATTGAGGCTGCAGTTTCTTTGCAAACATTCTCTGTTGTGGTGCCAAGTAAGAGGAAATAATGAACTGAGATATCTGAGATCTTAAGCAAAAAATAAGTGTTGCAACTACAAGCCTACCAACTCATTCTTCATTCAGGAGTTGGAGCCATGCTGTGCATTTTCACTATTTCTTCTTTTTGCGTTTCCAGTGCGTTTCTTTAATGAAAAAAGTGAAAAATTGTTATTCATTTTCTAATAATAAAATCTTAGCAGTAATTCCCGCTCAGTGTGAAGCACCGTGTTCCCTGTAATAGGTGACTTTCATTGAATCCAATGTGAAATTGAAGTTTTTATGTATCTTCCTTGCTGTTAAGATGCATGAAATCAGGAAAAAGTTCATAGAGAAGAGCAAGGGCTACAGCCAGAAGGGTATTTCTCTTGCACATGGTGACCAATGACCTACACAGGAATGAGAGTTGTCACAACCTGTATTTATCAAATCAGTATGTTTAGTGCTTTGAAATGCTCATGTGAAGATGGATTGCTTAGCAGAGAAGTTAAAATCATGCTGTGAGTGCAGGCTGGCCAGATACTTTGCTTCTTCTGGTCTTGCTTCCTGGTTTTTGTTGTTTTTTTTTTAATGAATAAGAGCATGGTCTGGAGGAGGAATAACAGTGCTGAATCTGAACTGCTTGCACTAAAACCAATTTGAGATGCCCTAAATGAAATTAGTTTTACTGACACTTATACCTCTCTTGGTTTTTAAACTCTCCTTGGTTTTTAGGTCTGCAGGACTGATTACAAGCTTTGCCCTTCCTGTTTCTATTCTAAGTACAGAGGCAAAGCAGGTAATCAGATTAAATGAATCGTAAATCTAACTCAATACCCCAGGAATTTTGATTCTTAGAAGGAGGGTAAGAAGGTTGCCCTAACTTTCCCTGATTTATTTAAACTCTTTTTGATAAGATCAAAAAGAACTTCCAGCCATTTATTGTCTATTCTGGAGCTTGGCTTCTGTAATATTTGCTTCCAGCTTGTTACACTGATGTTTTCATTGGCCAGTCTTTAGTGCTATGTGCTGAATCAAAGAATGCCCTGTCTGATCTATGAGCCCAGTAAATTCTAGGAGTCTGTGACCAAGGACTGAAGAATACCCGTAAGGAGAATATGAGACCTGCCACTGTCACAGGCTGTTAGTAGTTCCTCTGCGACAGTACCCTTCATTTCCAAATTAGATGTTTGAAAACAGATCACTAAATGCAGCCTGACTTGGTAGAGGAAAGCACTGTTTGCAGCAGTTTTCTGTAATAAACTCCAATTCTCATGAACTGGGGTTTGACTGTTGCCCATCACTATTAGCTGGTTAGTTCGTACTTTCAGTGCAGTAATAATGGGTTTGTTTTAACTTCAGAATTCTTGTATTTTGTGCTCCAAGTTTTGCAGTATTGTAGTTTTGGGGGGGGAACTGTCACTAGGTGGAGCCAATGTGCTCTTTATAGGAGGAGCAGTGACTGAGCTGCGTGCCTAGGGAACAAGCAACTTAACCATTAAAGTACGTTGTGATCTTAACCTCTAAAACAAAACTGAAAAATGCAGCTTTTCTTCATTGGGCTGATTTGTTTGCATAGGTTAAAAAATAAGAATAATAGTGTTAAATGGTGTTTTGGAAAAGCTTCATCTTTTTCTTAACGTTTCTGCAGACCCTGAGCGATGTTAGAAATCTGAACTTTCCAACGTTGTTCACTCAGAAATATGCACAAGAGGTAAGTATGTTTCCTGCTAATAACTGTAGCTTTTTTCTTTGCTTTCCAATTGCTTTGCAAGTAAAAAAGAAAACAAACAAACAAAAACAAACTACCAACCCCATCAGCTTTGCTATTAAGACACATTTCTCTATCCGTGATGTACTTTACTGTGTTTCAAAGTTATAATATTGTGGACATTGATACTTCTGTCACAGGGTTTATCTCCAGTAACTATACAGTGTTACTCAGCTTCCCTTTGGCACTTGATGTCATTTATGTTGCATACTTCTTGCCATGAGTTCTTGCAGCAAATCCATATTCACAAAGAGAACATGCAGAGTTGTAGACAGGTAGAAGTGGAGACAGTGTGGTAGCATGGTGTAGAATTGTGGCTGCATGGGATGTAGCTCCAGGAATTGCATCTCTCAAGTAGAAAACCATTTACTGAATTGGTCATCCTTAGAGCTATACACTTTCAGATAAGGAGGAGGTGATGTACAGAAGCCCTCCAGTAAAAAGCTGAGATGCTTTTGGGTTTTCATGGTACTTCAGACCAGTAGCTAAATGAGAGCTTCCCTGCTGGTTTTACAGCTGCCAAGTGACAGGGCCAATGGGATGTGCTGTGCTCAGTTGGAACAGGACGTTGTTTTTCACTAATAAAGATGTTGTGCTAAGTAACTGAGATAAACCTTCAGACTGTTCTCATACTTAAAGGAAAGCCATCACCATCAAAAATTACTGCATTGCTTTAAATATGGTGATTAAATGTGAAGCTCAAAATTACTCATGAATGACACTTAAAATATTTTAAAATTCTTATGATTTCAAATCTTATAAATGTTTTATAACTCCATTGAATCTTGGGCCAGTTTTGGTTTGCCAAATTGATTGTTGTCCTTGATAGTAAAAACAATTTAAGGAATAAATTACAGTGCTGTATTTTCCAACATTTAAATCGCTCCTGACTTCTGTGCCAAAGTAGTAATGCCCAGATTACTAAGGAGGCAGTTGTTTATATTGACATGAAATCAGAGCATTGAATAGGAATGAAGGTATGAATTGGTTTGAGCAGCACGTCTCGTGCTTTCTTTCAGTACATCATGGTGAAGGACATGCTCTCTCCGAGTCCCACTGAAAGACCAGAAGCAGCTGCAATCATAGAAAATCCTGTATTTGAGGACCTGGAACTCCCAGCCAAACCAGTGCTGAGGCAGAGGTCACGGACAATGAGCCTATCAGGAAACAAGCATTCAAGACAACCAAGCAAATAATTATCCTCAGGATCACTTCTTCCACTCAGCAGGTTTTCAAGGGATTGTTCATCAGAAGGATCCTATGATGCAGAATGTCTATCTTGGAAATGTTTACTGATGCTTTCTTTTGCCATAGCCAATGTTTAAGATGTTGGATGGATTTTTGTTTACTTTGACAGCCAACAAAAGCCACACTTTCCACATTCCATTTTTTTATCTGAACTCTCCTTGGCAGGTGGGTTCAGCGACTGTGCTTACCAATGTTGTGCTCCTTTATCTCTTTCTGGGGGGTTGGGATTGCTGGAAGATTTTTTTTTATACCCTTTTTTTTTTCCTGAAGCTTGTATATGTCTGCTTGCTGGGTAAGTGAGAGACCTGTAACGTGTAAATAGAATTAAAATACTGTATTTTTATAGAGCAAATTACAGTCTCTAAGCCTAGTGAGTGTAGATCTGAATCACTTGCTCTTCGGTGAAATGAAGATGATTTGGGAAAAGAAAAACAGAAGAAAAACCACAAAATGATGACTCCATTTTTTGTCTCTGGTAGGTAAACTGGGAATCTGCACTATTTTTAAAGCAAAAAAATTACCACAGCTGTACATACTGTCACTCTTCATAGCCAATCTTTACAGGAAAGTTTTTCATATTTCTACACTGTAGTAGATCTTAGGGAATGCATTTTATACAGATAAACCTGTAGGGAAGGGAAAGGAGCTTTTTGCTATTAAAAGAGGGCTTATAGACAACGGGTGGAAGAGCCATAATAAAAATTATGTACAAAAATGTTGTGATTCTGACAATTTAAACCTAATGAAGTCATACGTGTCGTATGTAATCTTGTAGATTTGTACTTTAAAAAGAAAAATCAACTGGTAGGCATTTGTGTAATCTGCTAATTTAACTGCCTAATGCCGTGCTTTTATTTCTCATTGTAAATATGTTAATTTTTATTTATAAAATACAGAATCAATCCATTTGGGTTGGTGGTGTACAGAATGCACTCGCTATAATCGCTGAGCGCATTAATTATTGTGACTTATTTAAAGTCTAAATGATTTAATAAACTTTTTTATTTAAAACAGTAGTAGTGGCTTCTGTTCAAAACCTGCAGCTGTGTGCTGCAGGTGGCAGTCTCATGCAGCTGGAACTGGCAGCTAGTCTGTATCTGTAACTGGTTTACTTTCTGGTCCTGTACTTGCCCAATGCTGCAAGGAAACGAGATACAGACAGAGCAGGAAGCAAGGCATGAGGTATCTCAGCATTTTTACAAGTGTGTGCTCCATCAGTGCTGTATAGCTCAGCTCATGGCAGAGCTGCACAGACTTCACAGTGCATTACAGGGAAGTAACTTTGCTGGTGTTGGGCACCTGTAAGCTGCAGCTCAGAGTGCAGCTGAGCCCCGTGCTGCCTTTATTGAACACCAACTTTGCTCTTTAACCACATCCTTCCCATCACCTCCCCTTTGCAGAATGACACAGGTGCACTACTAAAACTGGTTAAATTTATAATGTAAAGTGCAAGAGCTATAATTGCTGGATCAGAGAGATTGTTTCAACTTAAGCTGTAGGAAGTGACCACGATGTATACAGAGGAAGTCAAGTTGATGTTATACCGAAATATTTCTCTAGCATGAAGATTGAATTTGTCTTAGGAAGTACGCATTTTAAAAAATAATTACCCAGGAAGGAATTTGCTCCATTTGCTGTAGCCAACTGGTTCTTGTTCATAGAACTGTGGTATAATTGCATTTTAACCATATGCCCCCAGCTGTCACATTCCAGTCCCTTCTTCCCCTGTTTTCAAGACACTTATTCTTACATTAGGACACGCTCTTGAATGTTCTGTACCACCTCCTCCAGTAACTGGTTCTGGACTCTACTGCTTGGGCTTGCCCTGCTGGGCATCACTGGGCACTGGCACTGTAATGCTGTAGTCCAAGTCTGGAGCAGTCTTGGTGAAGGTGGCTATGGAAACCATGTCTTCTCCAATGTCCACCTGAGACCTGTGCCTGCAGATGAGCAGCTTCCTCAGTGCCCGCTGGAAGTCCCTGTTGAGGAAAGCATAGAGCACGGGGTTGATAGTGGAATTGCAGTACCCCAACCAAGTGATGATCTTGAAGGTTTCAACCAGGACTGTGCTTGCGGAGTTGCTGCCCCTGGCAGCAAGCCACACGTTCAGGACAAAGTATGGCAGCCAACACAGCACAAAGACAGAAATGATGATGCTGATGGTCCGTGTGGCCTTGTTCTCCAGCTGCAGGTGGTTCTGCCGCTTGCTGTTAGGGTGGTAGTGGATGTCCAGGGTCTGAGACACGACACGAGTGGCCTTGAGCCGGGAAGCTCGATAGATGAAGAAGTACATACTGCACATGACCATGAAGGGGACGAAAAACGCAAGAGCAGATGCTACGATGGCAAAAATCCAGTTGGTGACGAAGATGCATTCCGTGCCTGCATCAAAATCCACCCCGGGGATCTCATTCCAGCCCTTCATGACGGGAAGGAAGGAAATAAGGGAGGAGTATACCCAGACTGTGCAGGTCATCACAACGCATCTGCCAAAGGAAAGAGATGGGGAGAGGAGAGATGGTCTGAGTTACTTTGAGCTGAGAACATCCAGTACAATTCAATCCCCATGGTAACATTTGTGGGATATCACTGTTCAGTAGTCCCAGAGGGCTTTGAGAAGCCACCGAGCACAGAAAAAGCTGGAGTACAATAAGTCTATACGTGAACAGCTCTAATAACTGAGCACTAGGATCTGTGGCTTGCAGAATTGGGGTCAGTGTAAGAGGTGCTCTGAGCCAGGTGGGAGAAAAAAAAAACAAAACAAGAAGAAAGGCTTTACAAAGGATTTTTATTAACATTTAAAGTAACAGCAGGCAGATTTTTCTGATTGGTTTCAGTATTAGCTTCCAGCCATTACTCTCAGACAACCTTCTCCACCCTGCAGTCCTCACTTCAGTGTTTCACATGAAACCTTGACAGGAGGAGCACTCTGCAAAACTTCAAATGGAGCGAAGTTTCTTTTCTCACACAGTTCTGATTTGGAGCAGAAAATGCCAACAGCTTATTTGGGCCCTGCTTGCTACAGGCTGTGGCCAAGCAAAAATTTGGAGAGAGCTGGAATGAGGAGCAACTGCACTCACCTGCCACGGGACATCCTTCTGGAATAGTGAGATGGGGTCACCACAGAGCAGTATCTGTCCAAGCTGATAAAGCACAGAGTGACAATGGAAGCAGTGCAGAACATGACATCAAAGGAGATCCAGACCTTGCAGAACAGCTTCCCGAATAACCACATCCCCGTCACCTCGTAAATGATGCTGCAAGAGAAATGGGTAGAAAACAAAGCTGGAAAGGCTGATTTAACGTATTTCAGGATTGCACTGAAATAATGTTTTTCACACGGAGGTGCTCAAGAGCAGTGCACAGCAAAGTTAAGGTCAGTTACACACCAGAGATTAGCCCTCCAAGAGCAATCCAAGGCATCAACCCATGCATAGAACGAGGTTGAAGAAGATCAAGCCCATCCTCCCTGCTTGTGTTGTAAGAAGTGCTCTGTTCCCAGAGTTCTTGCATTTACGTCTGCACGGCTTTGTTCATCGCCGCTTTTTCCAGTGCCCTTTGAAGCACTGACCTTTATCAATCCTCCTCGGTTCCTAAGGTGTGGAAGGTGCCCACTTTTCAATTCTTGGGTTAAAAGAGTAGAGGCTAGGAGGAAGCCTATGCAGCTTGTACCTTATATAGCCCAGAAACGCCTCAACCAAGGGAACACACCAGCAAAAAGCAGGCATTATGCCAAAATCATTCCCAGCAAAGTCAGAGGGGCCTATAAGAAGTGAGCAGCGATGGAAGGAACATATGGCAGCTGTAGGAAAGCTGATGCGTGTTCCTATAGCATTCAGCTAGATGCAGTTTGCTTCCCTTTTCTGTAGCTCCTGGAGTGCTGCTGAAACAACCATTGTGTGGATTTGATGTGGAGAGCTGAGTAACAATCTGTTCCTGCAGAGCTTTAATTATCCTCTAACTTCACAGCTTTACGGTCAAATACAGTGGAAGCAGAGCAACAGCACTGCAGTGCCCTTAGGTGGGCTCTTAGGTTGGCAGAAACAGCCAACATGATGTCAGGAGCCAGGAATCAACGCCTGCTCTGCATTTAATTAGCAGCAGTTCATTAAAACTACTGGGAAAGGTTGTTTCAAAGCACGATAACTGCTCTGAGTGCATTAGCAGAGCACAGTGCTGTTGAAGGGCTCCAGCTCTTTTCCTTCCCTTTGACATGTGCTGCCATGCCCGCTGAGGAGCAAACTGCAATTTGGAAAAGCTATGTGGATGTGCAGCTGAGAACCGTCAGCAAAATGAATCTCCTGGTGAGGTCTCTGCCTCATTCCCCGTGTCTTCAATGGGGTACGAGCAGGGTAGGTCATCCTAAGCTGTAACCAAGTCCCTGGGGTAAGAGACTGCAGCTCCAAGAGCACTGAATGCAGTGCAGCCACCTGCCGTACACAGACTTATGGCCACTCTGCAGCATGAGACAGCAGAGCCCACAAGTTGCCTTGGTTTCATAGAACCATAGGATCTTCCAGGTTGGGAAAGATCTTTGAGATTACCAAGTCCCAGCACCAAACCATGTCCCTCAAGCCATATCCACACATCTTTAATACCTCCAGGGATGGGACTCCACCACTTCCTTCATTAAATATAGGGTGAGCATAAATTACCCTACTTCTACTCAAGCAAAATCCTTACTTTTGTACAGAGTGAGGAGGAGATGGCCTTTGTTTTGATAACAGTGACAGTTATCAATTTGCAATGGTAATATGTCTAAAACAATTCCCCAGACTCAGTGAATCACATTTGATTTCCCACTGAACACTACAGCATTTCTTGTCTATTGATGTAAGCAAATGATCTGTCTTGAAAGGTCACCAACCTTCCCAACAAACCCCACTCAGCATTGGCTGAGCCAGAAGGAACAATGAAAACTCAGTGTTTTGCCATGAATATGAAGAACAATACCATTGCGATAGCCTAGCAAGTCCACTGATCTGAAATCGTTTTCTTACACAAGTAAAGATGTAAGGGTTATTTTTATTTCTCCCTCCCACTACCAGAAGATAAAACAGGAGGTTAAAGCGGTATAAAACCAACTGCACATAATTTCACTGTGCTGATTTCAACAGACTGGCAGAGATGAGGGGAAAATATCCTCCATGATTTGCTCTACCTTTGAAACATTAGTGGCCCCCACGCAGTCATTGCAGTTAATGATGACACACCAGGGGCTGTCCCCACCTCTCATCCTCCAAATGCTGCCAAAACATTCAGCAACATTCAGACTGGCTCCATCACCCTGGAGCCCTTCCATAGCCAGCAAGAGAAAAAACTCTCCATTCATGACAAAAGAAACCTCACCAACAGGTTTGGGTCAGGAAACTGAGGCACAGAAACATCTGTAATCACTGACCCAGCATTCAGATCTTGGGTGAGCTCTTCTTACCTGAACGGCATGACAAGGCAAGCCACAAGGAAGTCTGCCATGGCCAAAGACATGATAAACATGTAGGTGACAGTCCGCAGCCTCTTTTCCACCACTGGGCAAATAAAGACTACTGTATTTCCCAGGAGTGTGACCAAGTCAATGAGGGTCAGTACGAGCCCGATGGCCACCTCCTGGAGGCCGATCCCTGCCCATCTGCCAGCTCCTTTCACAAAGGATGACGTAGAAGACGAATTAGAGAGCCACGACTCATTTTTGTCCATCAGCATCTTCCCACCGTTAAGAGCTGAAAGAGAAAAAGGGGGAAATATTAACACTTCAAAGCACGGTGAAAGGAAGTACAGAAAACATTTATGTTCTGCTGGCTTCAAGGAAAATCCACACACCCTGCTGTGCCTCTGCCATCACCATCCCATGGTCATCAGCTCAGAAGTGTCTGGTACAACGTGCTGTGCTGGCTGAAGTTCTCCTTGGCAATTAAAACCTCTCCTGTGAAGGACAAACGAAGAGTGCTGAGAAGAGAGGGAACTCAAGCAAACAACTGTAAGCCAAATTAAAGCAGCTCTGCTAAGTCCCACTTAGCAAGAAGCCGTAGCCTCAAAATACATCCTTGGGATCACCTCATGCTATCCACAGACCAGGTGAGATTGCTAACCCAGGCTGGGTGCTTTCATAATCCATAGTTTATACATAGCCTGGATTGTCCTGTTTGTTTTTGAGGCTCTGAAGGTATGATTTTTCTCCCACAGGTAGAGAACAGTAGGCAGCTCCATCCCATGCTCCGAATTGCAGCCAGAGCTGCCAGTAATCTTTATGGCAAGCAACTAATTTAGGGCCTTGGGTGCAGCAGATGTGTGTCCCCTTCTGAGCACAGCAGGGATGCTCCCAGCTCCTCACTGGGTCAGGATAAATGTCCCCATGACCCAATATGCCAGTGATGGGCCCTTTAATGTCTGTCACACTCCCCAGCACCCTCATAACCGCTTGGTCAGCATGAAGAGCCCTCAACAACTTGCTTATTCCTCATACAGAAGCAATTTCAGGCTCCTGGACACCCCTGCAGCTCCTCTAACACTGTGATAAACAGAACCTGCAAACAATTTCCAAGAAGTAAAAGTACTGTGGATTTATATAATGACATAATGATGTTCCCCGTTTTGTCTCTGATCCCTCCTCGCTGCAATTCCTAATGCTGTTTGCTGCTTTTGATTGGCACTTAGCACTAAGATGACCTGCTCATGATCTAAAGATCTCCTTCCTCAGCTCAGAGCCCACTGCTGCACACACAAAGGTAGGAAGCAATCAGGTTCCTTCCCTTGCATCATCACTGATGTCTGCCACTTCACAGCTAAATTTCTCCTTCCGTTTAATGCTCTGTCACTGAGCCTCATAAAAGCTTCTCTGCAATTTTTTGGGTCAGGCCTCACAGCATTAAGATGGGCTCTCAAGACACAGAAAACTCAGATTTCACTCAATTTCAAGTTTTTCTCCTGTTTTTCCTTTGCACCTGAATAATTATAGATGGGAGCGCTGTGTTTGCTGCCCGAGGTGTTTAGATGTGACACTGAAACACGGGCTTAGCAGTCACATCTGCCCATCACATGTGCCCACGTGATTCTTTGGTAAGCATCTGTACAAAGCAGATCATTACTTACACACAGCTGCTCTGGTGATGATCCGTGAGCACGTGCTGCATTCAAACTTCAAGGAGAAGTCTGTCTTTGCAGTCTCTCTATGATGCTCGAGTACCACCTTAGTTACTGGTACAGGCTGGCTTAGAAGGTCTTTCCTAGTGAGAATTCTAACAGCAAGCTGCTTATAATGCAGGATACATCTAGAAGGACACAACAGTGCTCAAACAGAGGTGACAAACATATCCACATTCACAAAGCATCGAAGAAACACGTGTATTATTGTTTGGTTATGACACAAAGACACACTGAGCAGCTGGAAATCAGGCGCTCCTAATCTGGCCTTCTATGCCATTTCTCCAGCAAGAAATACTCAGCAAAAAGAAGGTTGTTGGATGATTGAAACCCCAGAGCTGGGTCAGGGTGCAGACAACAGGGTCCTGCTGCTCCTGGCTGCATTTCAAGCATCCTCACATAGAGTCTGGAATTGCGTCTGCACACTGTGTTACACAGATTAGCCAACAACTTCTTTCTTACTTGCTAAGAAATGCTTCTCCTGAGTCACCTGGAGCCTTGTTAACACAGAAAAGCAGTAATCTTAAAACTTCTGGGACAAAACAGGATGGGCCATCCTTCCAAGAGATGTACTTTGCTGCCAAACCCTGCTAACCAAGGAAAAGCACAGGACAACATGCAGCTATGCCTCCCCACTGTGCTCCCACCTGTAAAGCAGTGAACCACAGAATATCCTGAGTTGGAAGGGACCCACAAAGCTTTTCAGGTATGTAAAGCATGCCTAAAAGACAGCTGCACCAGCAAGCACTGCCCAGCACTACTCTCTCCTTTTCCATCTGCAGAGTAGCATTTTTAGTACGAAAGATGATTTCTTCCCACCCCCAAATCAGCGCAGAATAACTCTAGGGCAGGTCTGGAAATACACCAGCAGCAAGCACGATCCTTACCTTCAAACCTGACCACGGCCACAGCTGGGTGAAGCATCAGAGCAGCATGGGATGCAGCATGCAGGACAACACAGTCCATTCCCACTCGGTGCTTGGAGTTGGGCTGCATGCGAGCATCGTCTGCTCCACCACCGTGCATCAAACCCTGCAGAAGTGAGTCTGCTGCTCCTCTCCGAAGAGCTGGCAGGAAACAGTAAAACTCAGGGCAAACTTAAACCTGCAGTGTGAGGGCCAGAGAGCCCACAGGTGTCAGGGGTGCAAAACCCCAAAAGCCAAGGTGTGAACCTCAACCTGCAGGGATGCGAGCTCACAACCCCAGGGCTGCAAAACAGCAACCGCTGGGGCTACAGATCTTCAAGATGTTGGGTTCAGACCCCCCAACCCCGGGGATGCCAGCACCCAAGATGCAAACCCACAGCCCCCGGGATGCAAAACCCCGTGTGGGGGTGCAAAACCCCAACCGTGGGGGCTGCAGATCCCCATCCCTGCGGCTGCCTGCACCCGAGATGCAAACCCGCAGCCCCCGGGATGCAAAACCCCGTGATGCGAGAGTTCAAAACGCCATCCCCCGGGATTCAAAACCCCATATCCTGGGGGGTGTGGAATCCCCACGGGCGAGCTGCGCATCCCTGCGAGTACAAAGCCCCCACCCCGGAGCACGCAAAGCCCCAACCCGCGTAGAAAACCCCCAGCGGCGAGAGCTCGGGGAGGCACAGCCAGCATTCCCGGCTCAGTGCCGGGGGTCTCCCGTTGCCCCCAGCCGGGCTGCACTTACCGGCAGCAGGCGGTGCCCCGGCCCCAATCCCCCGGGAGACCTCGGCCGCCCCGCCCCGCCCCGCCTCCCAGAGCCTCCACCCCTCGGGTCCCTCGTCTGCAAAACGAATGGTTTGGTTTGGTTTTGGTTTGGCTTTTTTATTTTTTTTATTTTTATTTTTTTTTTTTTGGATGAGGGAGTCTGGAGTGTTTTACCTCGGGTTTGTTGCTTCAGAAATAGCAGATCAGCCTCTGAAGGTAATGAAGTCTGCTTTAAGTGGTGCTTTTCAACTCCAGTGATGAAATTAAACAGGAAAAGGAAAGGGAAAAAAATTGATATCACAACTATCTATCTATCTATCTATCTATCTATCTATCTATCTATCTATCTGCCTACCTACCTCCCTCCCTCCCTCCCTCCCTCCTCTTTAGGGAGCTGCTGGGGAGGGTCCAGAAGAGGGCCATGAAGATGATCAGAGGGCTGGAGAACACAGATGAAGACAGGCTGAGGGAGCTGGGCTTGTTCAGCCTGGAGAAAAGAAGGCTGTGGGGTGACCTCATTGCAGCCTTTCAGTACCTAAAGAGAGCCTATAAATAGGAGGGGAGCCGACTGAAAGGGTAGGCAACAGCAGGACAAGGGGAAATGGCTTGAAGTTGAGAGAGGGAAGATTTAGGTTCGATGTCAGCGGGAAGTTCTTCACTATGAGAGTGATGAGGTGCTGGAACAGCTGCCCAGAGGTGCTGTGGATGCCCCATCCCTGGAGGTGTTCTAGGCCAGGTTGGATGGGGCCCTGGGCAGCCTGGTCTAGCATTAAATGGGGAGGTTGGTGGCCCTGTATGTGGCAGGGGGTTGGAGATTCATGATCCTTGAGGTCCCTTCCAACCAGGGCCAGTCCGTGATTCTGTGATTCTATGATTATAGATTCTATCTACATTGTAAGTAACATGGGACTGGATAAATAGGCCCTGAGGAATGTCAGATGTGTTTTATTTTCTCTTTGTCTTTTCAGGAGGAAACTCATGTGAAGGCCCCTTGTTCAGCATTGTTTATGCAGGGCAACTGCATGAAGACTAGAAGGAAGAAGTGAGCATTTGCCTTCCTCTCTATCTTGATTCAGCCAGGTGTGAAGCTCTGCAGTCATCTCAGTGCTCAGCACTGCTGCTCTGCTCCCTTCTCCAAAGGCTGTGGAGGGGATACACGCTCCTCATTTTGCCTGTCCCGGTTGTCTAAGTTACATACTTGAAGTAAAGAGCATGGAATGACATTTAGCCCTCTATCACTGCTGAAAAATCAGGATCCTCCCAAAATATAACCTGTGAAATCCATGGGAATTGCTGGAGCCTAGAACAGAGTTCGTCAGGCATTTATTGTCGCAGCAATCATTGAAGGCAGAGAGAAGATTTATACAGATGTGGAATTACAGACAGAATAGAAGAAAATAGCAGCAAGTGTTTGTTAGCACTGGGGTGTTTTTATGAATGCCCAACATTTTTCATCCTATGGGGCAATTTTCATAGAATCATAGAATCACAGAATGGCCTGGGTTGAAAAGGCCCACAATGCTCATCCAGTTCCAACCCCCTGCTATGTGCAGGGTCACCAACCAGCAGACCAGGCTGCCCAGAGCCACATCCAGCCTGGCCTTGGATGCCTCCAGGGATGGGGCATCCACAGCCTCCTTGGGCAACCTGTCCCAGTGCATCACCAGCCTCTGTGTGAAAACATTCTCCTAATATCTGACCTAAACCTCCCCTGTCTCAGTTTAAAGCCATTCCCCCTTGTCCTGTCACTATCCACCCTCATAAACAGCCGTTCCCCCTCGTGTTTACACACTCTCTTCAAATTTGTGGTCACCGAATGGATTCCACTTGGAGAGCAGAAAGGACATTTCCTTCAAAACTTTCAAGACCAAACTTGAAAACAGAATAAAAGCCTCCCATTGCAGTGCTGACACACCCCAGTCTTTACTGGTGTTGGGATTGCAAACAAAGAGCACCCAAACAGAGAGCAGGACAAAGATGAGTGTGATTTTATGGGAGTCTCTGGAACACAGACTGTGGGACTATCATTTCTCTCTATGGCAGCGAGCAGCACCATCTGAATCTTCATCTGACACCTTGAGGGGACCTTGGGCAATTTATCCCCTGGAAAAAGATGTAACGCTGTCAGATCACAGTCCTTGCACACTGACTGATAATCCAACAGAAATTTGGTAGTGCTTCTCAGCAAAATGTTTCTGCCTGTGAAAGGGCACGTCCTGGTTATCAGATGGTCAGGTTTGCAACGTGGGCACCCTGCTTTCCCTGCTTACACCACTGCACTTTCTCCCATGGATCACGGTGTTTTGCAAACAAAAGCCTGTTGTCCAGAAGGAGCCTTGGTATTTCCCCTGTGTGTTAATGAGCCATCAACCAAGACTCAGTGAGTAAGGACAGCATTCCCCCTAAGTGCCCAGACTGGGATACCAAGGCTGGGTTTGCACTGTGTAACTCAGTGGGCACTTTGGGCTCTCAAAGCCCTTTGAGAAATTCAAGCCCAAGAGGTACCACAGCTCTCAAGCTGAGTCATCAGGACGTTTCTGTCAGCCTCCATCACTTGCCAAAAGCTGCTCAATGAATCAGCATCGAGGTCTGAAACAAGAAGCTCTGGGTTCTGTGTGATAACGTTTAGTGTCTAATATGAGGGAGGGGTGTTGCAAATGCTTACCTTGGAAGGAAAGAGCAGCAGTGCCAGAGTGATACGTGGTGTTCTGAGTGGGAGGAGAGCACAAAAAAACAGTGGAAAAAGGCAATTTATCCCACAGAGTGCCACAGCCCAGTGCCTATTTAAATAGCTGCAGAATTTTTGCTTACATCCAACAGCTGTGTTTCATGGCTCTGCTGTATTTCTGGCAACAGCAATGAAATTGTATTATAAATCTCTGAGGAAAAAAAAAATCATGTCTGACACTTACCATGAAAACCACTTCTCAGGCTGAAGTAAGTTGCCAAAGAAGATTTTCTTTTCCCTTTCTATTATTGTCCTGACAAGCTGGACAAGGGCTGCTTTCTCTTGTGTTGAAAAGATCTAATTATATTCATACATAAAAAAGCAGAAGGCAGCAATCATTTGTCTTGTGTGACTCATCACTGTCTTTCCAAATGTCATCGATGCTGGCAAGCTAACTACAGCCACGAAACACATTAATGCCTCACAAGGCTGCTCGGCTTGATGGCAGGCTGACAAGGATTAGGCTGAGTAATTGGGAGGAGATGGGAGGAAGGTATCCAGTGGACACCTGGTATTGTGCTACAGATATTGCAGAAGGGAAACCACTGAAAGACAAACCAATGCCTTCAATGGCAACTCCCGTAGCAATGGCTTCTGCAACCCATTAAACTTGAGGAAACAGAGCATTGTCCGAGTGGAAAAGGAAACATCCATATTGGCAACACCTAGGAGCAACAGTGACATGAATGCAACCATTCCCTTGTTTTGTTTTCTTCCATTCACCATTGCACATCCCAGAGACCAAACCCAGACCTGCTCTTACAAAGCCTCTGCTGCCATAGCTTGGACAAACTTGTTGCTTGGACATGGGAAGCATGTTGGAAAGGACCACAAGTTCCTCATGTATCACAGACACAAGCTGAGCTCTTCTCTGAGGTTTTCCTGCTTCCATCAGGCCATGCAGCTGTTCAGCATAGGAAGCCACACTGGGCTGAACAGATGGAGCCAAAAGATCCAATGGGTCTCCTAAGGGCAAGCTATGCCTAAAAAAATGATAGATTGCTCTGAAAGCCCTGAAAGACTTCGTGCATCCCTCCATAGCAAGGTGGGCAGAGTATTTCCAAAGCAGAATTTTTCCTGAATGGCACAGATTTGCTGACAGCTCTTGGTCCACCAGTCTGCTCCAAAGAACATTGCTGTTCCTGTTCTACAGTCCTAACTGAAAATGCATCCTCTTGCTGCTTAATTGTGATCAGCAGAACCCAGCACCCAGCCTCATTCACACACACTATGATTCTGGTGTGGTTGGAGCTCCTTAACAAAGACTTCATCTCTTGGCACAAGCAGAGGTGCCTCACCTTCAGGGAGGATTCGGGGTAGGAAATCATGAGCTAAAAAGAACTCAGATAGACAGGAACGTTGCAGAAAGCAAAAGAATTGAACAAGATGCTTTTTGGGGGCCAGAACATTAAATCTCAGACCTTCCCATGCCACGATGATATACCACATTCTCCTTTGCAAACAGCTGAATTACATTTATAACAATCAATAAATCTAACTGTGGTTTGTTTTTGGCTGTAATTGAGTATCTCCTTTCAAATCTTATCGCTGCCCACCCACATCAAATGGATTAGACAACAAGCACAAATGTAACAGAGACTACACTATAGTGAAGAATGAAGCAACAGCAAATTGATCCTATTTTTTTCCAAGGCATTCCCAAATCCAGGATAGACCAGGGTCTTTCTACCGATGTGATTCATAGATGAAGAATTAGAAGCTGTCTGGTAGCATTCCACACTTCAGGATATGTTGGAGGATCTCAAAATCAGCATCACTTGTCTTTAGCTTAACTAATGCCATGCCATGTCTTGCAGCTCCACAGGTGAAAACTGAACGGAGCAATGCAGGATCTGTGTGGGATAATTGCCCACGGATGTGCTGGGAACACACACCTGGTCTGAATACTCACAGAAGTGTTAGGTGAAATGAGGATGAATTTAAACTCACAGAATGAGAAACACGCTGCTTCACTTGGATGGGAAATCAAACTGGCTGCGGTGTTTTGCTTCACAAGTAAGCAAGCTTTGGGGAGATGGAAGGAGCATATGGTGGAAATCAGGCATTAGACTTCAAGGGTTTATTACACAGTGTGTGAACCTTACTAGGTCATAA